GGGCACACCAAGGTATTGTGTTTATTTGCACTGGATTCTTTACAGTGATATCTGAACAGTATCCAGATGGTGGGACTTCCTATGATGAAAGTTTTCACATTTCTCTTTGATTCCAACATATATATACGTGTGTGTGTGTTTTAAGGTGATGTCTTTGGCTATTGCAAGTAGCTGCTGGTGGATTAGTAGAATATGGACTGTGGAAGTAATGAGAGGTACGCTATCGTGTTTCTCAAATTATATGTGATTTTCTTTTGGGTTTTATTCACTTGATGTTCATGGGAAGTCTGATCTCTCATGAGTGTGTTGCATTAGTCATTTAAGGTAGGATTTGTTTCACTTACCTAGTTTTCAGACAGCCAAAGTTATCTAGTCCAAAGCTGTGATTTCGTGAACATCTGAGCTCACGCTGTGACAACTCTCTGCTCCTGAAATGAGGAAGCCTTGCTCCTCCTCCTGCCTGTTTACTTGGCTCTTTGTTCCTTTCTTCTAGCCAGTACTAGCTGCCTACTGTCACTGATGATGAAGCTTGTGGGATTTTTCCATGAGCTAGCGTGACTCACTGACCTCACAGAAACGCCATTGAGGGTGTTCTGCTTGTTTAAGTGTGTTGGTGAGTTAAAGCAGTTCATGGAAGGGTCTGATGAATGACAAATGTAGGAATGGAGATGAAGAAAGGAGGAGTAGAACCTCCCATTCCTGGTGACAGTGAGCTCTTGTGTGGGATTACACTTATTCATTAGTTCATTATCTAGACTTACTGGCAGACTCTTAAGCAGGGGTGAGAAGGGATAGTGTCTGAAGGGTCACTTTCATAAGGCTGTGCTTCCTTTGAGTGTCTCACTTATTCTTTCAGGAAAGTAGTTCATTGTTGCACAAGATCGTGGCTGATTTGATTAGGAAAAAAAAAGAGCATATAAATAGGTCTGGAGGTCGGTCAGAAGTAGGCAAATGGATTAAACCATACATTGTGTGAAACAGCTCTTTGACTTTCAACAGATTTTACTGAGAATTTTACTGCTTGAACAAAGGCTAAATACTGATAATCAAAAATACCGATGAAAAATCAATAGTTGCAAAATTACATTCACTGTATCATCTGTTTAAAATAGTGTTCAAGTATGATAAATTTGTGTTTTAAGTATGGCTGTGGTATGGAAAGCAGAGCCACGAGTAAGTTACCTATGTCACCTGGTGACATACCAGTACACGCTGAAATCACATAATTTGGTTATGCTAGATGAGCTTGTTGTAAACAACGTACAATAAAAACTAAAATTGTAATGTAAATAAATGAGATTATATTGGCATCTTCATATTTTTCTCTAAATGCACATGTGTTTGTAGCAAACAAAAAGTTAATATAGCTGAAAAATCTTGTAGGAGAAGAAAAGCCCTTTCATGATATGTAGATACAGAGAACAGAGGGATGTGAAATATTGTTTGTCTTTGTATGAAAATAAATAATTGGAGAAGAAAGGCAAAACAGAGGTGATTCTTAGAGATGTAATTGAGTTACTTCACTTAGCTAGAGATTCTACAGTAAGTATTGCTGTTTTAGTTACTGAGTGTGCATACCCCTAGGTTTCAGGGCTCTGAATCAATACCTTTATATATATATGCCTGCACAGAATGGTGTTAAGAATTAAGAGTGTAAATCTGGGTCAACTGACACAAGTTTGCAGTTCTGCCACATGATAAAATTTGGCAAATATGTAGGTGGAGAATTAATTTTAGGTATGATGTGGTTTTAGTTTCTTCAAAATATTTTATGTTTCTCTACTTCTTGAATAGATGTCCAAGAGAGAAAGAGATTTTAACTAGTGTTCCTTTAAAGTATTTTTTTGTAAAAATACAGGTGTAATTTTGAAGATTATTTAAGGTCTGTTCATTGACTATGAGAAAGTACTGTAAGCCATTAACACTGAAGAAATTCTTGTTGGTAATATTTGTAGCCCTAAACAATGTTGGCAGTTCACTGCCAAGAATTATTTTAGGGTTTGGAATGAGGGTTGAGTTTTTAACTTTTAAGAGTGCGGGTATGTCAAATACTACAAGTTGTTGATAATGATTTCAACGGAAGAGCTCCAGGAAGCAATGAAATCTGTTATTGTAGTTTGTTTCACGGTTGTCACCGGGATGCCACTAGATGTCCCTGCAAGCCAAAGCAATTTTGTTTCCTTAACTGCAGACTGCTTAGGTTTTCTTGGTCTGAGACAATTGTTTCGTAAGCTACATTTTTTCCCTATGTTCTTTCCTTTTTTCTTTTTCATTAAATCTTCATGCAGATGAAGACGTGACCAGCTGTGCATCTTGCTTTATGATTTGTGCACTTTTTGATAGTAGCAAAAGCTGTGAGGAGAGATTATACTTCCCACCTGCAGCAGCTTGGAATTGAGAGTACAAAAGGTTGCATTGCCTTTTTTTTTCTTTTGGTTGATACGCTGTCAGAAAACACAGTGTGTTTTGGTGTCGTTGATTTTATATCTGTTATGCCATTTCTTACTCAAGCTGCCGGATCCAGACCTGACTTTAAATCCTGTGTTCCTATTTGTGAGCTTTGGCTTACAGTTTGATGGTTACATTTGGTATCTCTATCTTATAAAAGACCTGAAACAGAGAAAAGTACTATTTCCTGGTGGTTGGTTTTATTTGTTTGGTAGTTTTTTGAGGGTTCTTTTGTCTTTTTACAGTGATCACAGTAACCCCGGTGGTATGCTTAGAAATTCTTAGGGATGTGATGCCTTGGGTTTTCTCTCTGTACCAGGACTTCATGTCCTCTTGCATGGTTTATTGTCTTTAGGATCACTGCCCAGTTCGCCCCATACAGCTGTTGGTTTAACAATTGAAAATGTCTTTATATAGAGATTGGAAATTGCTGTTGTCTGTTGTTTCCCCACAACCAACAAAATTCAGGCATGAAACAGAATCTGTATTGATTAGACGGAACTTGTACTATTAATGTTTGATACTGGATGTGCGTATAGGACAGGCACTAAGGAGAATGTTCTTTATTCTGATTTCTTCCCCTTTGTCTTTCAGCAGATGTGGGTAAAGCAGAATACAAAATTGCTGCTGTCACTTTGCCTGTACTAGCGTTGTAATTGGTAGATTTTCCACCGACTTTTTCCCATTTTAGTGATGGAGGAAGAAAAAACGGGAAAGAAAACTTAAATGTAAGACGTGCTTGACATTATTACATCTTTTAGTGGAATGGGCACTGTCATGCAATGTTTGTTGTCCTATATGGAAGATAGATTTTAATCTTGCTTATGGTTTAGGGTTTTATAAAATGGAATGGTAAGTGTTTAAGACAGATCTGTGAAATATTTAAAGAGTGGAATGGTAGAAAACGCTGTATGTTCAACTCTGTATGTAAAGAAGTTGAAGTGTTTGCAGTGATGGTGGAGGTTTGACATTTTTCCTGTTTGAGTTTTACTTTGTCCAAAGTTCCGCTTTGTAACTTTGAGTTACACTTTGTACACTGCAACCGTGGAGTTCTTTGGCATCAGTCCAGTTGTGCCAAAGGCTGAAATGGCAGAGTAGTTGGGTTCAAAGCTTTGTAGCTTCCCTAAAATTCAGTTACAGTCCTCCCTCCCCCGGATCCTTTAGAAATGTCAGTAATGATCAGATTAATACATTTTGCATGTAATATCGAGAGAAACTAATGAGGCATATTAGAACACTTCCGCGTCTCTCAGCATCTGTCGATTTGCACCTTTCTCACACCAATCTGATCATAAAATCATAGAATGGTTTGGGTTGGAAGGGACCTTAAAGACCATCCAGTTCCAACCCCCCTGCCATGGGCAGGGACACCTTCCACTAGACCAGGTTGCTCAAAGCCTCATCCAGCCTGGCCTTGAACACCTCCAGGCATGGGGCATCCACAGCTTCTCTGGGCAACCTGTGCCAGTGCCTCACCACCCTCTCCATGAAGAACTTCTTCCTGATATCCAATCTAAACCTCTCCACTTTCAATTTAAACCCATTCCCCCCTGTCCTGTCACTACAGGCCCTTGTAAAAAGGCCCCCCCAGCTTCCCTGTAGCCCCTTCAGGTACTGGAAGGTGCTATAAGGTCTCCCCGGAGCCTTCTCTTCTCCAGGCTGAACAAGCCCCACTCTCTCAGCCTGTCCCCATAGCAGAGGTGCTCCAGCCCTCGGAGCATCTTCGTGGCCTCCTCTGGACTCACTCCAACCGGTCAATATCCTTCTGATGTTGGGGGTTCGCGATGTTGTCACACTTAGCAAAAGTCTTTCTGGAAAGGTCACAAGCCACCATGAGATAAACTTTGGAAACGAGGAAGTGACGTATCAGTGATCTATTTCAGGGCTGAGCTTTGGCAGGTATCTTCCAGGCTGTCCATGGAACCTTAACTCTTCTCCAGAGAGGGCTTGGTAGGAATTCAGCAGTGAGAATTATCTGCTCTTCCAGCTGCAACGATGGTGCATTGAGCAGTACAGCTTGTTAGGATAGCGTGACGGACTGTGATAAGTAGTAGTAAAAGCTGTTTGTGTCTGATGTCTGGCCTCTGGCTGAACTCTGGCTCAGAAGGCATAATTAGTCTGCTGGTAGCATCATAGTTTGATTCCCAGTGTACAGCATAAGTACAAATCCCACTCCTAATCTGTCAGCTAGGAGCGTCTTGTGCGTATTTTGTATTAACTCAAATAATCTCCATGTTTAAGTTTATTCTGTGCCCCTGGAAGGGCTATTACTTTTCAGGGCAGGCAGTGAGTGGAGAAGGGTCGCCCTTTCCTCAGAGTTTTCTAACCTGAGTTGCAGGTTCTAATCCTGAGTACAGGATTCTTCTGTACTGAAAAGCAAAAGCAGCCTGTGAAGTCTTTGAACTGTGAAAATACCTGTTACTAATTCCATGTCCTTGTATTTGTTCAGGTGACATGATCTTCTGGGATGTCAGCAGAAAAAGTGGATGGTGTTGTAGATTAGTTACAAGTCAACTTTTATTTCCACACTCATCGTGAACGGTCATCGTAAAATGGATCCTTCGGGCAGTCTGCTTCCTCCCGTGGTTGGAAGTGGTGATATGGCTAATGCGCAAGAATTACAAAAACTTCTGATTGATGAAAAAATGCGATGTGAACACCATAAGGCCAATTATCAAACTATAAAGGCAGAACATCTGAGGTACACTACTTTAAACAGGTTTCTTCATTTGAGCTATTGAAAGGCAAAGCTAAATGTTAGGTGGAAAAGAGATTTGTGCATGTGTGTTAGCTATTTCTGTATTTAAGGACAGACTTGAGTGTTGTTTGTATTAGAAAACAAACAATTCTGTATACATTAAGACATTGTAAATTACGTTTCTGCAATGTTTTTTATGCCTGTAAATAAGGGATAGCTTTTCAGTATGTTACAGGAAGAAGATATTTAATAGCTTAGTTCTAACTTGGTGTTTGTGAGCTTGCTTCTGCCCGTGAGTTTTTTTGATCTTTAAGATCTAATTTTACGGGGTGAATATAAAGATGTATTTTATCTTGCAGGTTACAGGAGGAGTATACAAAATCACAAGATGAACTGAAGCGGTTGTTAGTTGAGAAACAGACTGTACATGACAAATTTCAGGTTCTTCTTGCTGAGTATCAAGAGCAGTTGCTGGGTAAAACACAAGAGCTGGAAAAACTGAAGATGCAGGTGAAAAAATTTACTGGCAGGACTTCATACGAATTTTAATCCTGTAATAGGGCCATGCATGTATTTCTGTTTATGTAACGTATATACCCAACTTGAATATGTTTCAGATATCTTGAAATTCACCCAACGCGTGTTTTTTGTGTTCTTTTCTAGAGCGAATGTAGGTTGAAATTGCTGTGGTTTTGTTTAACTGAATCTTCCAAATCTTGTTGTTATGTGCTATGTTAAAAGTAAGAGCTTCAGCCTCTGCGCTTGCTCTCCTGTTTTGGGGAGGATCATCTGCTGAGGATAACTTAGATGCCTAAACCTATTAGGATAAGTCTCTTGTTTCTTTTTGTGATGATAGCTTTCCTAATCTTAAAAAAAGAAAAATAAAAAAAGCAAACCCAAACCGGAAAAAACCCAACATTTAAGGTAACTTGGGTGACACTTTCTATAACTGCTTGTTTCCTTAACCTAATGCATGACATGTTCTTTGGAAACAAATATAGCATCTAATAGAGAATCCCAGACTCCGAATGGAGGAGATGTGTCTTGGTACTGTAACTAGAATTAGTTTTTAGGGACTTGAGTAGTGTTACGTGGAAGAAAAGTAGAATAAATTATAATATGCCACAGGTTGTGGGTGATTTTTTTGAAATACTTTTTCTTGGTAGATAGTTTGCTGTGTTAACCATACCCAAGAAAACTTATGCTCCACGCTGCATGGTATTTTGTTAAGGCAGGGGATGTTTCCTGATCTTGGTTTCATTTCAAACCAGTACCCATGGGTCTGTTGGAGAACATGTACCTAGTGTATTTTACAAAGAATTGGTTTGGTCTTGCTCATTTTGATCCTTTGGGATCAAACTGTTTAAGCAAGTTTTCCAGATGCTAGTTCTTTATCTTCTATGTTAGACCACTTTCCCTCCCCAACAGAGGAGAGAAATCTCGTGGCCATTCAGCTTGACATTTGTATTGCTTCTGCCAGTAAATACTGACATTTTAAATACTTCTGTTATCTTTCCAGAATATTTTTAGTTCACTAATATCATGTTCTTTTGCTTCTGTAACTACCATTGAAATTCTTTAGGAAAACATAGAAAATTATGCAGGATTCATAAGATAATATTTGAATTACTTTCTCCCTGGCTATTTGTCCCATCACAGTGTAAATAAATGAATATGACTGTTTATGATACCTTTCTGTCTTAAGGTGCTAACTCCTCAAAAATTAGAGCTGTTAAAAGCTATTGGAATTGCCTATGGCAGAACGTTACCAGAAGCTAGAAAATGTAAGTATTGAAACTTTCTTTCATTTAGAGTAGTGATCACCAGCCTATAGTTGTTCCTAAAACCTTAGGAAATCAAAACTGAAAGGGGAGCAAGGTATGCCATTGTCTGGTACTGTTGCCCCACACGGCAAAGGTTGAAACCCTAAAAAGGGATAAGGAGGGATTCAGGTCATCAAATATAACCTGTGAAGTGATGGGAACTTTGCATGGATGTTTGCAGGAAACAAATCTGAAAGCTTCTCTGATTGATGTTTTTTTGGGTTTTTTTTGTCTAACTTAGGAAGTGGAAAAATACAGAACAGAATATAACAAACTTCGTTATGAACATACTTTTCTGAAATCAGAATTTGAACATCAAAAGGAAGAACATGCACATATTCTAGAAGAGAAGAAAATAAAATATGAGGCTGAGGTACATAGGTGGTTACGGTAGCTTAAACCGCGTCAATGACAAAGCTGCTTGAACACTGTGAAAACGGCGGTCCGTGACGGGTTGTCAGTTTGACACCATTTCATAACGTGTTTGTTTTCCTTCTCTGGATTCTCAAAACACTTTTATGACTTAGCCTACAGCTGTCTCTCTAGGTTTGTTCAGTGATGTGTCGCAGTATCCCTCGTGCTGTTGTAAGTGAGCATAGACTTGCCTTCTCATAAATGACAGCCAGTGGCTTCGCTTAATGCTTTTTTTTTAATCGCTTTTGTGATGGAATTTGAGACATTAATGCTAATCTGAAATTAATACGTTATCTGAGCAACTGATGTAAGTTTAGATTTTAAGTTACTGATGCAGCAGCTCATCCAAGAAGAAGGCAGCAGAAGTTATCGTTAATACAAGGGTACCTTTTGCAGCTAAGTTGGATCACAGCAGTGGTGGTCAAAAGGGTACCAGAAACTTTGGTAACTGTATTTCACTTGTATTAACTCTTGAATAAACCATTAATGAATTTTCTGTTTCAGAACTGGGCTTTCAAAGTGTAGCTAAATAAACTGCCAGCTTGCTTATGTTTCAAATATATGCAGCAGTGTAAATGAGTGTTGCATATGTCATTTGCATATTCATTTAAGTATTTGTCTGGGAGCATATATCCTAAGATGCCAGATTTGAATGTATTAGTCCAAACATGAGAGACAAATCAAAGCAGTCATCACTTTCAGATTCAGTCCAAATTTGCAAATGCAAAGCATTAAAAACAGAACAGTTGTCCTTCCCGGAGCTAAACCCACATGCTGCTTTACAGCCTGCCTCTCTTGTGGGCTTGCTGAGCTTGTGCTAGCCATGCAGCTTGTTAGCACGCTTGCAGAGAATGAAACTACCTTGAGCCCAGGGCGCAATGTGATCTAGTTTCTCTCTCAGAGCCTTTTTTAACCTTCCATGTTGTTTAGCACAAGGAAGCTACAAAAACATCCTAAATCTTAAGTGGTGGCTTGGGCATGTCATGCAAGAAGTGTTTGAATCTCCTAATAAAAGGGATTTGAAGGTCTTTTGCTGCAGAAATTGGCTTTGCTCTGGGGAGATCACTGGTGTAACTTGCAAAAGCACTGCTGCAGGTCAGAGTTTGGACTAGTCTCCAAATATCAAGAGAACTCTTACATACCTTACTTTCTCACTGTTTCGTCCCCAATATTATGTTCAAACCACATAACTCATGTTTGTAATGTTTGTTACAGTCTCCATGTTAGTTTGTACCTACTGTACTACATTGTAACAGAAAGATTGGGGGGGGGGCAGGGGGAGGCTTTGTTTTCTGTCTGACAGCACCCAATCATGTTGGCTCTCTTGAGTTACTAGCAGAGTTGAGTTCTGTTGTGGTTATAGAATTGTTGAATCATGATATAGGTTGGAAGAGACCTAGTCCAACATCCTGCTTAAAATATTGATGTGGAGTGAGATCAGGTTGCTCAGGGCCATGTCCAGTCGAGTCTTGAACATCTGTATGGGTGGAGATTCCAGTCTCTCTCAGCAAACTATTCCATTATTTAACCATCTTCAGAGTAAACCTTTTTCCTAATATCTAATTGGAACTTAACATGTGCCAACTTTTGTCTGTTGCCTCTCTTCCCATCACCATGCTTCTCCTTCTCCAAGCTGAAGAGGCATAGTTATCTCAGCCTGTCCTTATATGTCATGTTTCCCCACCACTTGACCATCTAGGTGGCCATCCACTGGACTTGCTCCAGTTGGTCATTATTCTTTGTGTGCTGGACACCATCTCCAGATGCAGTCTTACAAGTACTGGAAGGGTACAAAGGATCACTTCCCTGGTTCTGCTAGCTATCCCTCCACCAATCTGCCGGGATGCAGTTGGTCATCTTTGCTGCAAGGGTACTCTGCTGACTAATGTTAACTTGCTTTCCACTGGGACCCCCTGATCCTTTTCCGTGGAGCTGCTTCCTAGACAGTTGACCCCAACCTGTACTACACTGGGTTAGTCCATCTCAGATACCTGACTTGCTCTTGTTTAAGAGGTTCCAGTCAGCCCATTCCTTCAGCCTGTCCAGATCCCTTTCAGTACCGGTTCTGCTTTTCAGCACATTGACCATTTCCCCCAGTTTGGTGTCACCCGCAAGCTTGCTGAAAGTGTACTCCTTCCCATCAGCCAGGTCACTAACGAGAACATCAATCTGTATTGGACCTTGTGCTGATATTGGAAAGACCCACTAGTTATGGGCAGTCAGCTGGGCTTTGCACCACTGATCATTACTCTTTGAGCCCAGCAGCCCAGCCAGTTTTCCACCCAATTTATCACCCACTTTTCCAGCCCATATCTTACCAATTTGGTGAGAGAGAAGGTTATGGGAGACTGTATCAAAGGCCCTGTTAAAATCGAGGTATACAAGATCTACTGCCCTCTCTGCAGTGCCAATCACCTCTTTCTAGTAAAGCAAAGAAGTAGGTCAGACATGATTTGCCCTTGGGAAACCCTGCTTTCTATCACCTTGTCTTTCATGTGTTTTAGAAATGGCTCTTAACAGGTTTTGCTTTGTAACCTTCAGAGACTGATGTGAAGCCTGTAGTATCGGAATCCTTCTTCTTGACCTTTTAGCTTATCGTGATGATGGGTGTTCTGTCTGTCTCTTTCCAGTCATCAGGAGCCTTCTCTGATTGCCATTACTTTTCAAAGACGATAGGGAATAGCCTTGTGATGATAGCAGTGACCTCCCTCAAAATTCTTGGATCTATTCCAAGGACTTGTGTGTTTCCAGTGGATTAAATGATCCCTAATCTTTTCTTGCTCTACTCTGGGTGCTGCTTTACTCCCACAGACTGATAAGGAGCTCAGGGACATCTTACAGGGGCCTGTAGTGACAGGACAAGGAGTAATGGGTTTAAATTGAAAGTGGGGAGGTTTAGATTGGATATCAGGAAGAAGTTCTTCATGGAGAGGGTGGTGAAGCACTGGAACAGGTTGCCCAGAGAAGCTGTGGATGCCCCAACCCTGGGAGTGTTCAAGGCCAGGCTGGATGAGGCGTTGAGCAACCTGGTCTAGTGGAAGGTGTCCCTGCCCATGGCAGGGGGGTTGGAACTAGATGGTCTTTAAGGTCCCTTCCGAGCCAAACCGTTCTGTGATTCTGTGACAAACCTTAGTCACAGAAAGCTTTGTGACAAAGCTTTCACTTTGTCACAGAGTACAAAAAGGCACTGAAGAATGGGTCTGTTGAATTTACAGCTCTAAAAAAGAAAATAAATGTGAATGTAATTTCTTAATATTTTAAATGCACACTGCTGCTCCTTCCTGAATTGTCAACTGCTGTAGTTGTTGCTGCCTAACACCTAACCAATATGAAAGCTTTTATTTTTCTGGTTAACAACTACCAGATTGCAAGGCTGGATAAAGACAAAGAAGAACTCCATAATCAGCTGGTTAGCGTTGACCCCACGAGGGACAGTAAACGCGTGGAGGCACTCTCTAGAGAAAAGGCCCAACTGTATCAGAAATTAAAAGGCTTAGAAGCAGAAGTAGCAGAACTAAGAGCCGAAAAAGACAATTGTGGTGTGCAAGCAGAAAATATCCAAAGAGTACAAGTGCGACAGTTAGCTGAGATGCAGGCTATGACAAGGTCTCTAGAGGTAAGCTTTTTTAGAAGTTACTATTATTAGTATTTTGCCCCCTTGTAGAGCGTAGTGAGAATAATACTTGGCCTGATAGAACTGTCACAGTAGTCACTGATAATTTTACCATTGACTCCACAATTTGAATTTGTACATTTTGGATATAAAACCAGATTATAAGTACATTGGGAGTGTTGTATTGCCAATTCAACGTTGGAAAAGTGGAGAGCTCGATTGAGAGATTCTGTTGAATGATCTCCTTTTTAAACATCCACATTTGCAGTCAGTAAGATGCTCATGTCAGCACGTGTCACTTGGCTGGACTTAGTAACTGATGACAATATGTTAATAATATGCAACAGTAGATTTTTTTTATTCTTTTCTAAATGTCATGTAATGCTCCTCTATTTCCTTAATCCTTTCCTCGTGTGTCATCATCTTTCTTGCGTACCTGTGTCTCTCCCTTCTCCAACACACTACTGCAACTGCTTAGTTCTTGGCTGTTGCTCTCCCTTAAAGAACCTTTGGTATTTCTGGCCTGTTGTATGTTTCCCAGGCTTCCACTCTATTCCTCATCTATGGTCTTCAGTCCTCCTGTGGTTCTTGCTATCCCTCTAGGTAGCGAGTCTTTCCATGCAGATTTCTCGCACAGTTGCAGCGTACAGATGAATGGTTCATTTTCCTTTTTGCTGTTACCAGCACTGTATGCATTTGTTACAAAATGCTCTGATAGCAACTTAAGTGTTGTAATATTCTTAATTTAGAAAACATAAAAAAAACTCCTGCTGGAAATAGGACAGTTCAGAAAAGGAAGGTGAAATAGTAGGTTAGATTAACTTTTTGATACTCAGTAAAGCTCAGGGTCTTGACTGTAATACTCACAGTAATTGCATTTTATTTCCATTCCATGATATTAATTCTTCAGTTAGTATAACTGTATAGGCCAAGATACAACATCTTTCTGAGCACCACTTACAGTCATACTGCTGTTTACAGCCCAGGACTTTACTGCTTAGGAATAACTGCTGCCTCCTAACCAAGTCAGATCACCTCTGCCTCTTGTGATGCAGGATTGCAAATGTGTGTGATTCTGTGCAGGCAGTGTTAGTAAAACCAGTTCTGACTTTTGAGTGAAATTCAAGACCTTTGTTCTATTGGAACATATTGTTGAGCAAAGATAAAGATTTAGATATTATATTATTATATAATATGAAAGGTCAGTAATATCGTGGCCAGCAGGTCGAGGGAGG